TAGTTTGATTTTATGTTATTTTAAATCAAATGCAATAATTGTTGTATTAAAGTATAAGTATTTTTAGAAAAAGTGTAAGAGCTTAGCACATTTAAATTTTTCCAAATTGTTGTTGGTTTGGGTATCCTCTTGCTATTGTATTGCATATTGCTATGCCCTTACAGGGTATCATATATTAAGGACTCACATGTTATACGAGTATAAGACTGTTGTAAACTTTTATATGAAGCAATAAATTGAAATTGAAATTGAACTAGTCGTGCACCAGACGGTAAGCTACACACCTGTCCATAACTGTTACAGTGCCATTCAGAGCTTTAAATTGCAAAGGCCCCTCAGGGGCACTACCACAGCGCCCATCACCCTGAGACAAGTTGACAAGTCCCATGTGCCTGTAATTTCACCAGCACCCTTACCCTTCAAAACCGGAACACAGTAACGCTGATATTACTGCTTGGCGGCAGAAATAGGTAAGATGGCAGTACTTTCCTGGACGAACTCTTTCACAATGAGCTCTACTGCAACTAAATTTGTGTTGTCACTAATTATGCACTCTCAAGTACGTAGTGGGCCAAGTTTGTGAAAAAGAAGACAAATAGAGATGCTTCAATACTTACCGTTTCCTAACGCCTCCCCTGGTGGACCTCCGCCCTCGTCCCGAGCCCCTGGAGCTGGTGCCTGCGCTTGCGCTCCGCCCCAGCGCTGCCCAGTCGGTATCCGACCCCGACTCGTCCTCATGAAAATCATTCTCCTTCGCTTTCTCTTGCTCCATCTCATCTTCGTATTGCATTAGGAGACCTGAATAATCATTTTCAATCAAATATTTTTTGTGTAATTTAAAAAAAACTGCATACAAGTATATTCGAGAAGGCGAGTAGGTATCTTACGAGATCTTAAGGCATTCTGTACTTGGAAATTAAAGTAATAACTTGTATAAAATACAAGTGTTTCTTTTCAATACTCCTCAAAATTACAATAAGCGGTTCCCGACCTAAATAGCAATCAAGTTACTTTTGTCCGCAAACAACTGTACCAAGCACAAGTCTGGTCGTGTATGGAGTACTGCTGCCACCTTTGGGATGGCTCTGTTACATACCAACTGGCCACTTTGGATTCAATTGACAAGCGTGTCAAGAGCCTTATAGGTGACTCGAAATTAGTAAAGGTGAAGCCGCAGAGCCTTGAACACCTAAAGTAATTTAAAAAATTAAATTTACTGCTATCGGTATTTTACAGGATATATCACGGAGAGTATGCGATGGAATTACACTATTTAATTCCGCGTTCCCCTTTCCATCATCGGGGGGACTAGGCATAGGCTTGGGTTCCTCCCCTATGTTGTGGATATTCCAAAGATTCGCACGAAGCGTTACGCTTCCACATTTATATGGCGAAAGGCTATGGAGTGGAATTCCCTGCCTGCAGACTTGTTCCCTGAACGTTATTTCTTGGACCTTTTCAAGGCGAGAGTGAATAAGCATTATTTAGGTGTGCATGCTCCATCGACCTCATCGTCACTATCCACCAGGTGAGATGGAGGACACTTACATTTGAATAAAAAATAATTAAAAGGTCGATCAGGTGCCATGGACAGACATAGACAACCACAAACTACGCCCAAACTCACGAGGAAAATAAATGTAGGCCATACAATTATTTCTCCTGGCCCTGGAATCGAATACGGGGCCTCTGCATGGCAGACAAGCGTGGTAACCATTCAGCCACGGAGGTAATTAAAGTAAAACAAATTTTAACGTTCAAATGAAATATGTTAAATAAAAAACAAACGACGACAGGAGTTAATGTAGTATTGGGTGATTTTAAGCATTCTAAACATTGACTTAGAAATAAATGGACGACGGGTCTAATACAAAAACCACGAAAAAAATGTCCCAAGTCAACCTATTCGAAATTTAAATTGTAATGTCATCGCAGTATCGCGCTATCAGTCGAACAAATGAAGACTAAAGCGGAGTTTGGCGCTCTGTATACGATTTTAGCGCCTTACAAGTGCGGAAACTTTTTAGCGCGGACCCGACGTCCATATAATTGTAAGTCAATGATTCTAAAGCATTGTTTGTAAAAACATCTAGCTTTAAAAATATAGACTTGAGGTTTTTACCTATAATACCTTTAATACCTTTAATTACCTATTAATATGTGTGTAAACATACCCATTTTCTCGACAGCATAAACTGCAGTGATCTTGAGAAGCTCGACGCCGTACTTCTCGTAGTTGGCTCTGGTGACGTGCGGCAGCGACAGCATGTCCTCGGCGGTCTCGGGCAGCCGCGTGGCCATGGCCTTCAGCGCGGCCAGAGGCATCACCGCCGCAAGAGACGCGCCTCGAGCCTCGCCCATTTCCCTGAGAACATTTTAAATGCCAGGCTACAGAGAAATCCAGAGGCCGAAACACGCTTGAGGTATCGCTCGATGGCTAGTTATAAATCGCATCCTTATAGTATAAAGATTTAAATAACCAACTACTACTACTTTACTTTTACTAAATAAACTTCAGCTGTCACTTACACCAAATCCAGAGCAAATACATCCAAATCATTTAACCAGTCAAATACAATACTTAGTAGTGAGATTTATACGTCATATTACTCCTATACTCTTTAATTTAGTCGCATGTTATTAGCGGTCATTTAAATGCTGTATTTTAGGTTGTTTATCGTAGGATATTTGTGATGCGTGTTATTAAACATCTTTATTCAAATATTATATTATATAATATTTGTCGGCGCATTCGCAAAATAGGAGATTAGTCACATCTAATCGATGGTCGTCATTAAAACGATTCTAGCGCTACCTAGCATCACTAGTAGAACGAACACCAAGCACTGGGGAGGCGGCCATCTTGAGCGGGTTGTCATCCTTGGGTTGTGGTGACGTGCGCACGCACCGACGTGTTTGGTGGATGATATTTTTGAATCTTAATTAATTATAGCTATACTTTATTGTTTCGTTCAGTTAGTGATTCTAAAATTAAGAATAATAAGAGAAGTAATTGAGATAACCCGTATTTTATGGAGATATCATCTACTTGGTCAATAATACATGCCCAGCGGAAGAAACAAATGAAAAACCACTCTGATAGCAGCACGAGTGCTTTCAAGTATTATTTCACGGCATGACAACAGACGCTAGCTGGAAGGAATTTTTATTAGAGTATTTTCTCAAAAAATACATGAATATCGTAACAGTAAAACATCCTGATGTTCAATAGATTAATATGACATTAGTTATTTTTGATACAAGTGCGGAAAGTTAGTCATTATTCACGAATCTCGAAGCTTCTTGTCAAGACTCGAGACAAGTGAAAATGACAAATCTGCACGTGTATCAAACGACGTTTTTTAATACATTTGCGAAAAAACTACATTGAAAGTAAAATAAAACAGTACAATTTAGTGGCGCGGCTATATATATATATATATATACTCACCTCCGGTCATTGTTAATACTCAATCGGCCATCTTTATGGAAAATATTTTGGTATTTTAAATGTAACCCGTTGTTTTACGAAACACCTATGCAATTTAAACAAATAAGATGTTTGTAAGTAAATATAAGTTTTAATGACGAATGACTTACGTCACAAAGCACATGAATATTAAATAAATATACAACCTCTTTAATTCTATGTTTAAGACTTGAAACAACAGTAAATTTAAAAAATGGAAAAGTAAAAAGCACTAGTGCGGAAAATCCAAGTTTCGGCACGATTTGTAGTACGTTTTGTGCAACTGTATTAAAAAATAAATCAATAATAACTAAACCAATTGGCATGTGTATTTATATGGCTGGAAGACATGTACATATCGCACTGTTAATACAATAGTGTATTAACTCAAAAAGTGTATTTTTCAGAATCCATGAAAAACGAATACTCACTTCCCGTGAAGGAGCATTAAAATTTATGTATAGGGTAAAGTTTATTACTAGCATCTAAACAATTTCCTACTGGCCCAATTCTTTAAAAATAAAAGTGAAGAAATAATTTCATATTTTTGAGCAAGGACTGTAAGTTCTGGCCAGAACTAGCTCACATAGTTTGTCTCATTTTGAGCTAAGTAGATATCTTTTAATTGTTTCTTACAATATTTTATCGATGGTTTTATTGACGAGTAGAGAATCAAATTTGGGTTTCAGCAATGATTTAATCCTGAAATTCACTTATTTTGATTTACAACATATTGTAATATTAGTGCGATATGTTCTTTTTTTACATCTATTTTGTGAGTTTCCCAAAAAAATACTTTTCGGAATACTTTATATTGAGATTGAGAAATGTAGCTAAAAACGCCGCCGAAAGTTCGGTAGCGTAATATATTTGCGCGCGGGTAATATCAGGGAATAGCGCTAGATATATCCTTAAGCAATCATGACAAATTAAAACAGACTTATGAACAGCATAGTATAGAGTGCCTCTTTACTAAGTAAGACGATAAAATTAAACAATTTAATAATAATAATAACGCACACCCATGTGTCATGAACACACACATAGACAACCACAAATTACACCCAAACTCACGAGAGAAATAAATGTAGGCCATACAAATATTTGTCCCGGCCTGGGAATTGAACCTGGGACCTCTGCGTGGCAGTCCGGCATGGTAACCGTTCGGCCACGGAGGCAGTGAAATTGTAAACTTGTCGGTGGCTAGCAGTGGATGTAAGCTGTGTACGTATGTGAAGTACCTGCAAGCCTCGACCAGGTCGGCGTAGCAGCGGTCCTCCACCCTCTTGACGAGCGCGTGCACGGACGTGTCGTCACTGGCGACGGGCACGGGCGCAGTCGTCAGTTGCAGAGCTTTCTTGTCGCACTTCATCGGGAATACGATGCGAACACCGCCCGACATCAGCCTGTCCATTCAATTCATATGGTTTATGATTCAATTAATTTATTTCTCAAAACAGAATATTAACATTATAACAAAGTAGTGGAGTAATTTCACAAAGAAAACCAATAAACTTAATTTTAATTATTAAAGCGACATCTCTAGTCAGCCGCTGGTAGCTGTAAAGATACCTGGGTGAGTCAAGAAAAAGATTTCTCACAGATGGCGCTACGGCAAAAAAGTCGGTAAAAACCATAAACAAAGATCTGCAACAAACAATAGCAAACTTCTTAAAGATCTGATGGTTCGTTCCGTAGTTCGGTTGGGAGAGCGTCAAGCACGTTATGCTGAAGAAATTATTCTTAATTTATCTTTGTATTAATAAGAATACAAACGTTCACTTCCAATGATTTACAATACAAAATAAATATATACAGGGTTATTTTTAAAATACTAACAACCTCTCAGGTGTAAATCGTTCAATCAGTGTTCTGTAGAAAGGGCGAACGCGCCATTTCGAAAACTTTTTCAGGGGAGCATTCGACTATGAACTGGCTACCAGTACTATCTCAATTTTGACAACTTTACAGGATGAAGAAAAAAATTGTTACATAGCGTCTGGTTTATTAAATAACGTAGTGTACATACATACATCCACCTCTCCAACGTAAAGTATCGTATGTCGAAATTGCCAAGTTTACAAGGGAGCGTTTTAAAGTTTTGAATTCACTGAAATGAGCATAATACGTGATTTTATTTCTCAGTTTTATTCGGCAACATTCACACAGAGTATTATAATCCTAGACATCGGTTAGACGAACAACCACAATTTATTTTATCATTTTACAATTTAATTTCGCATTTCTATGCTAAAGTCACGTGTTATACTCATTCAGTGAACTCAAAACTTAACGCTCCTCTGTAAACTTGGCAATTTCGACTTACGATACTTTATGTAGGAGTAGGAATTATTTTAGTTTTTCACGACTGTTTTGAAATATTTACGTCCGAACTGAACGATGAACGTTTGAACTTACCTTACTCACAATTACAGATCTAAAGTGTCAGATAATAGAACAAAAACTTAGAAGGTTATTTTTGGAAAACATATTATGTTTTGTAAAATGTCATGGGACAAAATTTGTTGTTTATGATGTTATTAATATAGTCCTGAGAGGTTATTGGTATTTTAAAAATAACCCTGTATATAGACATGATGCCAACAAAAATGAACTAGTATGGGAACCACTATATAGTTTATTCATTCTATTTACTTATATCGGATTTTGGTAACACTTCCAGGTACAAACAAATCAGAACATATTCACACAATACCATTGACTTACAAATAAATGGACGACGGGTCTAATACAAAAACCACGAAAAAAATGTCCCAAGTCAAACTATTCGAAATTTAAATTGTAATGTCATCGCAGTATCGCGCTGTCAGTAGAACAAATGAAGACTGTCGCGCTCTGTATACGATTTTAGCGCCTTACAAGTGCGGACACTTTTTAGCGCGGACCCGACGTCCATATAATTGTAAGTCAATGCACAATACTGTTAGTTTTAGTCTTAATATTGTTTTGATATAATTATGCTAGACAGACAAAGTAAATTCCACTTTCTTAAATATTGCTTTCCAATACTTAATCGACCTTGCTCAGGTAAATGTTGTTGTTGTGTTGTGTTGTTTCGTTGAAAAACAATGCTCTAGCGCGATCTAGTTTTTTTCACTTGTACTGAGAATACAACAATAAACAAGTACTTTTATAATATTAAAGTTTGAGTAAATCCTATCCTCCTATCTTATTTCCTATTTTATATTAAAGTTTGACTAAAATAAATAAATGGAGTAGTAGTAGAGCTCCTTGTGAGAGTTCGCCCAGGGAAGTATTGCCACCTTACCAGTAATGTCAGCATTACTGTGTTCGGGTTTTGAAAAGTAAAGGTGCTGGTGAAATTACAGGCACATGGGACTTGACAACTTATGTCTCAGGGTGACGGCGCAGTGGCAGTGCTCCTCAGATCTTCGCAATTTAAAGCACTGAATGGCACTACAACTGTTATGGATAGGCGTGTCGCTTACCACCAGGCGTACGACTTGTTCGTCTCGTCACTTGTATTATAAAAAAAACAATCCAGTACCAGCTCAAGAGTTTTAGAGATTCACACTCACGGTGGCGAATTAGAAAACTGTGTAAGTGTTCCTCATTTGCTTCTCTAATATGGTCGTTAATGATTCTTTTTTTTTATACATGACAGGCAAATGACTCCACTCCACCTGATGTTAAGTGGAAAGTGGTATCCAAACGCGAAGGAACCTAGTGCAGCGATGAAACCCTCACTGCACTAGCCACCTCCACCCTGCCTGCCTACAATATGCCTCTTCACGCCTCGTTTGATTCATTTCTAATCAAGCCTTCGAAAGGTATTTTTACAGTACCTGTCTACGTGAGGTCCGAGCACGATGTAAGCGCTGGCAATGTCGTTGACGACCACAAGTTTCTCAGCTAATAGTCCGCGTACCACCATCTGACGCAGCAGTCTTTGGGGGTCACCGCGCTGCCACGATTTGCAACTGATCAACAAGAAAACGCATATTTAAATAAACTACAGGCCTACCGCTTAACTGGGTCCGTTCCTGAGGTAACCGCGCGGTGCAGGAGGAGTGACAGTTTACGTAACAGTTATGTCGCGCTGCGCACGGGATGATTTCAGAAAAGTGTTTAAGCGTTTAGCTCTTTGCGATTTAAAGCTCTGAGCGGCACTGCTACTGTTGTGGAAAAAATAATGCGAAAACTTCAGAATTTTTATTCGTGATTTTGTTGTAGAGCGGAAGCCATAAATCATGTTGTTTTTCTCGCAATCGAAGTGAAAAATAAAGTTTTCACCTTATGACTAAAAGCCAATATAAACCCTGGGAGTAATAGACACCACCTTACCTGGGAGTAATAGAAGCTAACCACCTCGATATTCGTTTTAATCCCTCGACAAAAAAATATACTATTGCATAGCTCGATTCAGATTTTTCATTCCATGTAAATAATTAAATTTTGTCAAAATTGTAACGTGCTTTAATGCCTAAAGAGGAGAATTATATAGAAATGACTTACCGTCCATGTATGGGTGAATTTTGCAATGTTTGCAGCCGCTGCTGCATGGATCCTCTCAAGACGTCTGCGATATGTAGCAGCGTGTACTGTGGGCGCCCTCCTGTGTTTATTTCTCGTATACATCGCACTATAAGCTTACACTCCTCCGTCACGTCGACTGGCTACAATGAAAATTCACATAATAGTACACAAGGTAGAGGCTGGGGAGTAAAGGATTGTAGGATAAGTATGAGTTGTTTTATACGCGTTAGGCAATCTCCGTACCCGCCGATGTATATATAGTGCTTTTCTCAAACAATGCGAGATAATAATAAAAGACTAAAGAGTGAAGGAGAATTTATAATGAAAAGTAAAACAAGTTTTCAAAGTTTCTTGTTTTAAAATGGGAATTTTGTATAATGACTAGAAATCATTTTCGCGAAGAAAACATAAAAAATACAATAACAAGAAAAATTCACAACACTTTCGTTTATTTTACAGGCTTTTCCAAATGTATATTTGTGCACCATAATTAAACGCACAATGAGTAATACCATAGACAATATATTTTTAATTCTCACAATTATGGACGCTAATGCTGGTGTGAGCAGTTGGCTGTATGACAATTTTTTTTAGTGTGTTGTAAAGAGCTATGTTCTTTGTATAATGTTGTTTTTAAAAGTTTAAGAGCAGCCGACAGAAATGGACGTACATATACCTATATTGCCACTAACTTCATGGGTTCTTATTGCTTAAATAATGCAAGCATGAGAAAATGACAGACACGAGAAAAATATCTTCTGTAATAACGCATTTAACGATTGCCAATAGTGTCTGAATTCGAACAGCATACTATACAGTGTCCATGCACGTTTGCTCGCGCAAGTTTAGAAGAATTTTTAATTAAAGTTATGTATACTTAATCTTGGCACATTGGAAAGACGCAATTTTTGGGCATAAAATGGTAATTGACAACATTTAAGATATATTTATTTTTAAGAAACTTTCAGACCTTATAGTCCTGCGCATTGAGGCAGTTGTCACAAGCGGTCTTCTTGTCCTTCACACATTGCTCCTTGCTGAACCTCTCCCCAAGATAAGCGAGGACCTGCGCCCTCCGGCACTCTGTGACACTTTCGCAAACCTCTACCATCCGAAGCAGGTTCTCTACGTGTACGCGTTTCGCGTCTGGAGTCGCGTTGCGTTCCACTGCGATACAAAATTGTTATATTATACAACCAGCTAGTGAGGCAATTGAATTAAATAAAATGATTAAAAAACTACTGGTAATTTATTTTGCCATTCTTAATTCATATTCATAATTCAGTCATTTTCAGGTAAATTTTTTGTACTCAATTTTGGTGAGAATTTTTATTATTTAATTACTCGAATATATTATCGTGAAATATTAAGGAACATTTCAGGTTACCACACTCGAATATTAAATAATACTTCATGATATTCTACAATTTTTAAATAAAAAGAAATTGTCACCAGAATTGAGTACAAAAAAACTTATTTGAAAATTACCCAATTATGTACACAGGATTATTTAGAAAATACTAACAACCTCGCGGACTGTTTTACTAACATCATAAATAACAAATTCTGTTCCATGACTTTTAATATTTCATCAGGTTATACTTTCATACAAAAATAAACATAATGATATAGATCCGTCTAAACGGTGACGACTCTGTACAAAACGCGGAAGTCGTCGGAGACGACGCGTGCACATTCGAACTTTTAGCAAATATGGATTTTATTTTTATATTATCAAGACATGAGACGATCAAGTCGTGCGCCTGATGGTAAGCTTCACACGTGTCCATACCAGTTGCACTCACAGCTTTAAATCGCAAAGATCCGAGGGGCACTGTCACTGCGCCCGTCACTCTGAGAAGCTCCGGGAGGCAGTATGCTAACATTACTGCTTGGCGGCAGAAATAGGTAAGGTAGCAGTATTTCCCTGGACGAACTCTTTCACAAGGAGCTCTACTGCTAGTTTTATAATAGTCCATTACTACTACTTACTGTCAAGAAGGCGTCTGTATCTTATAACGTCAGAGTACGAGTAGTAGACGAGGCAAGTAGCGGGCTCGCCGTCTCTGCCTGCTCTCCCTGCCTCTTGGTAGTATCCTTCCACCGACTTGGGCAGACTGTGGTGGATCACGTACCGCACGTCCGCTTTGTCCACGCCCATACCGAATGCTATTGTTGCACATATCTGTAACACGGGTTATATAGTTTTAAATATTTATTTATTCAAAATGTAAGTTACAATACAAGTTCTATTAGGCACGTACTTATTACTACGGCACCTCGTCGGGGCGTGGCAGTTAGTCGCTACTACTTTTTATGTTAACATTACATACATACAAAACAGAAGAAAATATTAATAATATTAACCTTAAAGCTAAGTCCAAACTCATGGTACGACAATTTCGTTTAACTAAGATAATAGATTATTTTATGGAGAACTGTACGTTTTTACAATAAGTTTCCGGAGCATATGTTAAGATTATCATTTCCTAAGTTTATTTATATCAAAAGTATTTTAATGGAAAAGTTATATTAGGGGTTAAAGTATGAAATTGCCGTTTTATTGCAATAGGTTCTTTGAATTTTCATAGAATCTTCATGGTTTGAGGTTTTCGAATGAAACTTTTTTCAAATGGTTTCTGTGATATTTTGTTTTTTTTAAATTTGAAACATTTGAATATCGACTTTCAATTGTTTTTGTTATTCAATTTAGACAAGAAAGATGGATACTGCGAAAATGCGAGTGATTTTTGAATACGAGTTCCGACGCGGAACTAACGCGGCAGAAACAGCCCGCAATATCAATGCTGCGTTTGGAGAGGGGTCTACTAATGAACGCACCGTGCGATTTTGGTTTAAACGCTTTCGTGATGGAAATTTCGACTTAAAGAACGAGGCACGAGGAAGAACACAGGTGAATAACGATGAATTAAGAGAGATAGTGGAAGCCGATCCTAGTCAAACTACCCAGGAATTAGCGGCATGGTTTAACCTTACCTTACCCACAATATTGACTCACTTGCGTCAAATCAATAAAATAAAAAAATACGAAAAATGGGTGCCTCATGATTTGACTGATCTTCTATGAAGAAACGCGTGTTGAAACTTGTGTTGCCTTGTTGAACCGGTACAGAAATGAAGGAATATTGGATCGAATTGTAACATGTGATGAAAAGTGGATTCTTTATGATAACCGGAAAAGAAAAATGCAATGGCTGACCCCAGGTCAAATGCCACAACAGTGTCCTAAAGCAAAACTTACCAATAAAAAGGTAATGGTAACTGTTTGGTGGTCTCAGCATGGTGTTATTCACTATACTTTTCTCCGATCTGGTCAAGCAATAACGGCAGATGTCTATTGTGCCGAACTCCGAACCACGTTGACAAAACTAGCAGTAAAACAGCCCCGACTCATGAATCGATCTTCACCATTATTGCTCCACGACAACGCGAGACCTCACACAGCACGAGAAACCATTTTGACCCTTCAGGAACTGTAGTTAGAAACCATTCGTCATCCTCCGTATTCACCAGACTTTGCTCCAACGGACTACCATTTTTTTCGTGATTTGGACAATTATCTACGTGACAAGAAGTTTTCTTCCCAGGAGGCAGTACAAAATGCTTTCACACAGTTTGTGCAGTCTAGATCGTCGGAGTTCTATCGCAAAGGCATTAATAACCTTCCCATTAGATGGCAGCAATGTATAGATAATAATGGCAACTATTTTGATTAAATAAATTTGTTAAAAAAATATTAAAAAATAAGCAATTTAGATTTTCAGTACAAATCGGCAATTTCATACTTTAACCCCTATTATAACAAAAATTTTGTAGCTGATGAACAGGGATAGTCAAAACGCGTAGCTAGAATATGATAGATGGAAAATAAAAATAGTTATTAGCATGTTCTCTGTCGATCTAAATAGTAAGAAACTAAAAAGTAATAACGCAATCTTTGTACTTTTAGTCTACGTCGCTTACTTATCAGGTGCGAAAAATGAATATACATATATAGAAGGTAATCAGATGTATAATAAGTACTCAACAAATGACTCTGACAGGAAGGTACCCGCCGTTTCCTTTAGGCACTTTTAGGCAAAAGACAAAAGTTTTGGTGTTTGTTTTAACCTCATTATTTTAGTATATTGTGATTTAGATTTAATACTAAATATTTTATTTAGATCAGATTAAACTCTGAAAATACTATAAAAGTTTAAATACTAAATACTCTAGATGTTTATGTTTTTTTTTTTGGAAAAGGTCCAATTTGATGTACCTTAACAGTGGTCTCATTCAAATTTGATGAAAATATACTTCTAAGGGTGAAATTAGGGGATGAATCCTGTTTATTTGATTTCTTACATTTATGTTAACCGATTGAAATAAAACTTGACAATTAGATGTAATTCCACAAAATTTTGATGTAGGTTGTTTTAATAAAAAAGTTATGATTATTTGTGTTCAGGTCATGAGAATTAAGCCTTGAAGTCTTCTCTATCGTATCTAAACCAACATTGGCTATGTGGGTCATAACGAAGTCAATTAAATAACAACAGTTCCTCTATGGGACACTAATAATGGTTGTTAAACAATTTTTGATTTTGATA